GCCTAGTAATATGCCCTGCACTTAGGTACTTAGCCCATTTTAATCCAACCAGTCATGCATACACACATACACACACACACAGATCCATAATATATATACATACACATATTCATACTTATTACATACAACACACCATCATTACGCATTCCATGCAAATTTTCAACATTCACTTACACTCATATACACATATATATGCATTTAGATTTATATAATTAACAACAATTAATATTAAAAAACAATTGAAGCGTTACAAAAAAAACTCCTACAAAGAGTTGCCCATGGATTCCTGGATATAAAAATCTGACAAATTTGCTAAACTCTAAAAAAGATAACCAAGAGTTTTTAGCACAAAAGAATTTTTTTAATATCAAAATTAGCTGCAACTAGTACAGAAAAAGACTTTAATGAGATGTTATTACAATTATCTCCAAAGCCATCTGATGTGGCCTTTGAACCAAATGAAACAAAAAGTCCTAATTCTCTAGAAGACATAGAAGACTTGGGAAATGAGAATAAAGATGATTGTTACGGGATCTACGTTCCATTTTCACAATAGTAAAAGAGTGTCGGCAAAAGAAGACAAATAAGAATCACATGCCAGTCAAATAGACAAAACAGGACAAGACTAAAGTATCAGACAGAAGGAGAATAATATTGCATGCCAAAACAGGATAAGACTAAAGCATCAGCCAGAAAGGACAATAATAGAAGACAAGATAAGACTAAAAGCATAATGACATCTTTTCAATAGTGAAAAATATCATTATAAAAGAAGAAGGCTACCTTAGAAGAAGGGCATTAGCAAACCTATATATGGAACTCTGAATTTGGAGTTGTTTTTGATTTTTTATGATTTTTTGAAGTTGAGATAGATTTGCTGAATATTGTTGCGGGATAGCATTTGTACCCTTATCATTTAATAATTGTATTTGAGCTTTTAGATATTATTGATGCTCGCATTTCGGCCACTTAATTTACCCTAATCAGAACCTATAAATAGACTAATAAGGTTCTAAATTGGGGGTGATGATTAGAAACTTTGAGATTTTGAGACTTGGTCAAAATAAGAATCTTTGTTTTTACTTTCTCTCGAACTCTCTTTTCATTTTCTCATTCTTGCGTGGGGTAAGCGTTTCGATGGAAGGCTAAACCTCTTGTTCAATCCATGGAATCCAAATGTCGTAATTCTGACTTGAGTTCTACGCTATATTGCTCTGAGTTTGTTCTCTTTTCTCTCTAATCTCAGAATTGTGTATTGCGATCGTAATTGACTTTTCTGTTGTTAGAATTCAAATTAGGACTCGATTGATGCTCTGATTTGATAATTAATGCGAATTAGGTTAAATAATTATTTGATTTAATTCATAACTCTATTCAATTAAGATATTTGATTGAATTAATGAGCGAATTGGGTGATTGTTCAAACGCAGATTTAAAACTTTAGATACTGTGATAGTAAGAGTTACATGTAATTGGTATTCTGTAGATTGATGTTTCTTAATTCATTTTTAGTCACTTTAATTCTGTCTGTAATTTAATTTAACTAATTTGCAAATTTTAAAATCCTAAAAACTTTATTTGTATTTTTTTTAAACAAAACCTAAAATTGAATTTAACTGAGAATGTGTCTCCGTGAATCAACCTAAGTTTGACTCTATACTACCAAATCTTTAGAAAACTTCGTTGTTTTGATAACGACACAACAATCGTCTATCAAATTGGTGTCGTTGTCAGGGATGCAATGTCGATTTTGATTCATTTTAGAGTTTAGTATTACGGTCTCACTTTTTAATTCATAATTTTATTTTCGTCTTTGTTTCGTTTCTGTCTCTGTTGTTGCGATTTAATATTCTTATTTGTTCATTTTATAGGGTGTGTTTAATTTCAATTTCGTTAGTTTGTTTTTGTTTTGTTGAATTTTGCTATTTTAGTGCCTTTTGAATCTTGAATTTCAGATTATTTTTTTGAATTTTGAATTTTTAAATTTAAATTTTGAATTTTAGATTCAGATTTTATATTTTTAAATATTGGATTAATTGTTACAGAATTGCACAATTTGCAAAGATATTGCATAGATTTTGCATATATGAGGAGTAGCAAATAAGGATCCCTCAGATTTGATTTGATTAGATTTTAAAAAAATAAATAAATTTTAATTTTAATTTTAAATTATTTTTAAATTTAAATTTTAAATTATAGTTAAGATTTGATTAGATTAGATTTAGTTTGGTTTGGATTTAAAAATAGGATTGATTTTTTTTTAGATAGATTAGTTTTGAATTCAAATTTAAAAAAAAATAAACTTTATCTAACTAATTTACAAATTTAAATTTAAATTTTGAATTTTTTTATTTATTTAAAAAAATTTGAAAATAAAATATAATTTTTTTAAAAAAAATAAATTAATATAATTTCAATTTCAATTTTTTTTATCGTATTTTCTATTGTAATTTATTTGGTTAATTTTTATTTTTATTTTTTCTTTTATTTGATTTGTATAAGGTTTGTTTGTTCTCTCACACACCACTAATCATGTATAACATGAGCGAGGCCCTATACCCGAGTTTGAGTAAATTTTAGGATTAGAGGAGTTGTGTAGTGATAGCAATTTGGATGAACGTTATGTTTGTCCATCACAAGAACTTTAGCTAGAGCTTATCTTATCTATATAAGTTCCTACATCTAGTAGACTACCTACTGATTGAGGATGACTTTATGGAATTGATTTTAGCTCTAGTGACGTTTTAGCTTTAGGCTTACAAACTACCTAAGGTAAGAATGTATATCGTAAATTATTAAGTTAGAATTTTAGGAACCGTGATAGAACATTGTGGGAGCATATTCTTTTATTATCTCGCTACATTTTTTTATTTTATTTATTTATTATTATTTTGTGAGTTGCAGAAATTATTGATATTATATTATTCATTTTACACGCGGTACTGTTTAAAATAACATTTTTCATCATTTAGAACACTTTTCTAAATTTATTTATATTTATATTTTATTTTTGATATTTTTATTTAAATTTTTATTTTTGATAGAAAAACAAAAAATAAAATATATATTTTTTAAAAATCTTTAAAAAAAGAAAATAGCACAATTAGGTTAACTTTAACTTTGTTGATCCTGTTGACTTTGACTGATCTGCTTCTTGGTGCATGACTAAAACTAATTCTAGTCAATTACCCGCATTTGATCCTGAGATTAAACGCACTTGGAACAAGTTGAATAGACTTAAATTGGAAGGTAGAGTGCATAGTCATTGTAGTGATACCCTTGATAGTGTTAGTGTGCACTCTAATTGTGAGCATTCTAATTGTGATAATTCTGATAGCCTATATGTGCATTATGATATTATGGCTAATAATCAACACGAAAGGACTCTTAAAGAATTGGTTGCACCAAATGTCACATACCAACCCTTAGGCATCCAATATCCTGATGTAGATGCTCCATTTGAGTTAAAATCTGGTCTAATCCATTTGTTGCCCATGTTTAATGGTAGTGCAGGTGAGGACCCTCATAAGCATATAAAGGAGTTTCATATAGTTTGCTCAACAATGAGGCCTCAAGGAGTTCCAGAAGACCACATCAAGCTGAAGGCTTTTCCATTCTCCTTGGATGGTGCAGCGAAAGATTGGCTATATTACCTGCAGCCCAGGTCTGTCACTTGCTGGATAGACATGAAGAGGATGTTTTTAGAGAACTTCTTCCCTGCTTCCAGAGCAGTCACAATAAGAAAAGAGACCAGTGGCATCAGACAGTTCAGTCAAGAAAGTCTCTATGAGTACTGGGAGAGATTGAAGAAGTTATGCGCAACTTGTCTACACCATCAGATCAGTGACCAGCTACTTATTCTGTACTTCTATGAAGGCCTTACTCCAATGGAGAGGAGTATGCTTGATTCAACAAGCGGTGGAGCTCTCATGGACAAGACACCATCTGCAGCTAGAGAAGTAATTGACAATATGGCAGAGAACTCTCTGCAGTTTAATACAAGACCATGGCACCAATGAAAGAGGTGCATAATATGCAACAACCAAACCATATGGCAGCAAATTCTAGCAGACTTGATAACAAAATTGAGGATCTCACTACTTTCATAAGACAACTAGCTATTGCACAACAAACTATTCCACAATGAGGGGTGACTAGAGATTGTCATATTTGTTCCTCCATAGAACACACCTCAAATTGTTGTATTTTGTTGTGTGGTGGTAGCCAACAAGCCTCTGTTCACAAAATTTTTAGTGGAAGACAAGACCAATACAGGGCTTCTAATTTCCAACAACCTCAAAGACAACAACAACCATACAGGTTCCAGTACCAATCTCATAATCCTTCCTTCAATGATTATCCAAATATGAGATATGGTACCTCTGAACAGTAACAGTAGCAGTAGCAACAGACTAGCCAAGCAGGTAATGGCTATAGACCACCCCCTATGAGGCAGCAGCAAACACAGCAAAATTCTGAGCCTTCATTGGAGGATTTGGTCAAAACAAATGGCCAAGAGCAATCTGCAATTCCAATAGAATGTCAATTCCTTCATTCAAGACCTACAAACACAGATTGGCCAACTTGCTACCACTGTAAATCAGTTCAAGTCCCAAGGTTCTGGACAACTCCCTTCTCAACCAAAGGTTAATCCCAGAAACGTGAGTGTCATAATATTGAGGAGTGGGAAGAAGCTATCAGGCAACCAGAAAGATAAAGAGGTACAAGATGATGTAGAGGCAGAGAAGCAGTAAAACACAGAGCAATAAACTACCCCTAACAGTTCAAAAATTATGCAGAAACCACCCCTTCCCTTTCCTAACAGAGTGGCCCAGCCAAGGCCACCAACAGACTTTGATAAGGAGCTTTTTGAGAAATTTAGAATAGTAGAAGTGAACATTCCATTGTTGGATGCTATAAAATAAATTTCAAAATATGCAAAGTTCTTTAAAGAATTATGCACTAAAAAGAGGAGACTAAAAAAGGATGAAAGAGTCAGCATGGGGAGGAACGTGTCAGCCCTCACACAGCCCAATATGCCGCAGAAGTGCAAGGATCCTGGCACTTTTACTGTCCCTTGCACTATTGAAAATTTCACCTTCAGCAATGCATTACTTGATCTTGGTGCTTCCATAAACGTGCTGCCTACATCAATCTACAGGTCTTTGAGCCTCAGCCCTCTGAAGCAAATTGATGTAGTCATTCAATTGGCAAATAGAAGCACTGCATTCCCTACTGGAGTAGTAGAAGACATGATAATGAAAGTGGATAAGCTGATATTCTCTGCAGATTTCTATATTCTGAACATGGCAGAAAAGTCTAGCATGCCTACACTGATCCTTGGTAGACCTTTCCTAAAAACAGTAAGGACAAAGATTGACGTGTACTCAAGAATTCTATCTATGGAGTTTGGAGATGATGTTATGCAGTTTAAAATATTTGAGGCCATGAAGCATCCATTAGAGCTGCATAGTGCATTTTATATAGATATTATTGATGTTTTAACTGAGGAATTTTGTATTAATTTTTCTGATATTTCTAGTTGTACATGCATTATAGGAGATTTGTGTAAAGTTTGTACTAAAATAGATGCATATTTAGCAGCTGATGATGTTTCATGTGATGCAGTAGCAGGTCTGGGACGCTCTAGCTTGATTACAGCAAGTACACATACCCTGGAACCTGTCCAGATACATGCTGCAGAATTAGACTTCTCCATCAGGACACTTCTATCTATTATTCAGCCACCTATACTTGAACTAAAGCCTCTGCCCAAGAACTTAAAGTATGCATTTTTAGAGATTGATAACAAGCTACCAGTAATCATTTCAGTAGATTTGGATGCTGCACAAGAATAGAAGTTGTTGCAAACTTTAGCACCCACAAGAAACCAATTGGGTGGACTTTGGCAGACATTCCAAAAATTAGCTCATCCACTTGTATGCACAGAATTCTGCTGAATGAAGATGCAAAACCTGTGAGACATCCTTAAAGAAGGATGAATCCCACCCTCTTGGAGGTGGTGAATAAAGCAGTTGACAAACTTTTAGCTGCTAGCATGATATACCTGATATCTAATAGCGAGTCAGTGAGTCTGATCCATGTTGTACCCAAGAAGACTGGTATAACAGTCACAAAGAACCAGTTTGATAAGCTGATTTTGACCAGAATTCAGAATGGGTGGCGAGTTTGTATTGATTATAGGAAGCTAAATCAAGGTACTCACAAAGATCACTTTCCCCTACCTTTTATTGATCAGGTCTTGGAGTGGATAGTAGGAAAATTCCATTACTACTTGCTAGACGAATTTTCTGGTTACTTTCAAATACATATAGCCCCAGAGGATCAGCATAAGACTATCTTCACTTATCCTTTTAGCACCTTTGCTTACAGACGAATGTCATTTAGACTGTGTAATGCACCTGGCACTTTTCAGAGGTGTATGATGAGCATTTTTGTGGACTTCCTAGAGACCTCACTTGAAGTATTCATGGACGACTTTACTGTTTATGGGTCTTCCTTTGATGCATGTTTAGATAGCTTGTCTAGAGTATTAGATAGGTGCATATAGTTTAATTTGGTTTTAAATTATGAGAAATGTCATTTTATAGTGACTAAAGGGACTGTACCAGGTCATGTAATGTCAAGTAGGGGTATTGAGACTGATAGAACCAAGATTGATGTAATTGTTTCTTTACCTTACCCTACTTCTATGAAAGAAGTGCACTATTTTCTTAGCTATGCAGGTTTCTATAGGCGGTTCATCAAGGATTTCAACAAAATCGCATCCCCATTATCTACCCTTTTGCAGAAAGATACTGATTTCATCTTTGATCAAACCTACAAGGACGCTTTTGATGAGTTGAAGAGGCGCCTCACTTCTATTTCAATCATTCAGCCTCCAAGTTGGGAGATTCTGTTTGAGCTTATGTGTGATACTTCAAATTTTGCAGTTGGTGCTGTTCTTGGTCAAAAAGTGGAGAAGCAACCCCATGTCATAGCCTATGCTTCTCGGACATTGGATAAAGCACAAGCAAACTACACTACTACAAAAAAAGAACTTTTGGCTATTGTTTTTGCTTTAGATAAATTTTGGTTCATATTTACTTGGCTCTAAAGTAATTGTTTTCTTTGATCATATAGCTCTGAGGTACTTGCTTAAGAAGTCAGATTCTAAATCGAGACTAATTCACTGGATGCTTCTTTTGCAAGAGTTTGACATTGATATCAGAGATAGAAATGGTGCAAAAAACTTAGTGGCAGACTAATTGAGCAGAATTCAACAGCCACTGGAGGATCTCCTTATTAGAGACATATTTCCAAATGAGCAGCTTTACCACATTGGAGGGCATGATCCTTGATATGCAGACTTGGTAAATTATTTGGCTGCTTAGGAGATTCCTACATACTTTTTCAAAGGTCAAGCTGCCAAGCTGAAGAGTGATTCCAAATACTATATTTGGGATGATCCATACTTATGGAAGATGTGCAATGACAAGATTATCAAATGATGTGTGCTCGAACCTAAGTTCCAGTCTATGCTTAGATTTTACCATTCCTTGGCTTGCGGTGGACACTTTGAATCTCAATGTACAGCTCGAAAGATTTTAGATTCTGGACTATATTGACCTACTATGTTCTGGAATGCACATAACTTCTGTAAGACATGTGAGCGATGCCAAAGGACTGGAAACATCTCGCGCCGGAATGAGATAGCCTAACTACCTCTCCTTTTCTGTGAGGTATTTGATGTATGGGGCATAGATTTTATGGGTCCCTTTCCTGTTTCATTTGGCTATACCTATATTTTGTTAGCAGTGGACTATGTCTCCAAGTGGGTGGAGGCAAAGGTCACTCGTATTGATGATGCTCATGTTGTTGTAGAATTTGTAAAGTCACACATTTTTTGCAGGTTTGGATTTCTCAAAGCATTAATTAGTGACCAGGGATCGCATAATAGCTGCCTTACTCCAAAAGTTTCAGGTTATGCATAAAGTTTCCACACCATACCACCCTCAGACTAACAGATAAGCGGAGATCTCCAATCCGGAAATAAAGCAAATCCTAGAGAAGACTGTCCAACCCAACAGAAAGGATTGGAGTCTACGCTAGGAGGAAGCTCTGTGGGCTTACAGAATTGCCTACAAAACACCCACAGGAATGTCTCCTTATCGGGTTGTTTTTGGCAAGGCATGTCATCTACTAGTAGAAGTGGAGCATAAGGCATTATAGGCATTTCAATCAATGTAATTTGGATATAGGGGCGGTTGGCTCACACAGGAAGCTTCAATTACAATAGTTGGAGGAGATTTATAAAGAAGCATATGAGAACTTCAACATCTACAAGGAGCGCACCAAGGCTTTCCATGATAAGCTAATAGGGCGTAAAGAGTTCCACATTAGTGACAAATTCCTTTTATATAATTCTAGAATTAAGTTGATGTCCAATAAATTGAGATTTAGGTGGAATGGTCCCTTTCTTGTTATTAACATTTTTCCTTATAGTGTTGTTGAACTTCAAGATATGGGATTGCAAAGGAGATTTAAAGTTAATGGGCATCGGTTCAAGGTTTTTCATGAGGGCTTAGAAGAACATGAACAAGAGGAGGCCACTTTTGAATTGGCCACCTACCTCGATTTATAGAGAGTTTTCTTACCTCTCTTTCACTTATTGGATTGTTTGAATTGTCCTTATGCTTATTGTGTTTTCCATTGAGGACAATGTTAATTTCAAGTGGAGGGAGTACTATGTTTTTGGTGTGTACTTAGTCTAATTAAGTGATTATTTCATAGCTTTGATGGATTGATTGAATCATTCTTTGATTTGATAGGTGAACTTTAATATCTTGTGTGTTTGATTATTTGTGATAGAATATATACTTTGTGAGATTTTGAACCATATAGATCACAATATCATGTCATTTTACTTCATTATGTGATTACACTCATGGTTGTATGGCACCAAAACCTGCCTTAAGCTTTTTGAGACTATATTTCCATATGCTTGCATTAGAATGATAGAGACATCATTTCTTTCTTAGAAACTACTAACCAAAAATCCAACCTTGCATTATTTCCATTGTTTAAGTCCCCTTGAGTCTAATTGGCCTATTTCTTGTGATCATAGCTCATTTCAACTCAAAAGTGTAAAACAATAAAATGACCCAACCTTAGGAGATACAAGAACTTTAAAATTATTTTGGGAATGATCATAGAAATAAGTGTGGGGGAGATTACTTTAAAAAATGCAAGAGAAAAGAAAAATCAGCTACTCAAAAAAAAAAAAAAAGAAGAGAAAGAAGAAACAAAGAAAAAAAAGAAAGAAAGAAAGAAAAAGTAAGCAATAAAAAGAAAAAGGAGCATTAGATAGCTAGCAAAAGTAAAAGATGATTGTTTTTGGATTGTATTACATTATATCTTTGTTTAGGGGATTTACTTTTATGCTTACTTTCTTTGGATCATTCCACATTATTCTTATATCCTCTTTAGTTTTAGCTTAATTACCTTTGTAATTTTTTCACCTTCACTATGCCCCTTTATAACCTAGAAAAGTCCTCTTGATTTTTGTGTGTATGTGTGAATTCTAGTGGAGAAGTAGGCAATACGCGAGCTTATGGATGATCATGCTTCATGTTCTACATTTTGAGTGACACACTTTACCTTATACGCTTGTGTGATTGAGAGTATATCGTGTGAGGATTCTATCTCTTATGGTTCATTCACTTGATTTGATAAGTCCATTTGTCAATTTGAAGTGTGATGATTGATTTCTATTCTAATAATGATATTTGAACTTGATGGGCTTTGTACATTGCCTAATTTGTTTTAGGTCCATTATGGTTTGATTTTGTAATTTGCCCCGGAGGGCAAAATCTTAAGTGTGAGAGAATTTGATGTGACATATTCTAGGTTTATATTTATAGTTTATTTTGACTAATAAACATTTTTCATATGCTTTATTTTTAGATTTTTTATCATTTTCTAGTTATTTGAATAAATTAAGCTCGTTACAAATAAATGTTTTAATTTCGTATTTTTGGTTATTCTAACCTCTGACTACTCTTTTGGCCATAACTTTTTCTATAGATATCATTTTTGGTTGATTCTAGTTGCATTAGATTTTACACATCTAGAGCTTCAAAATGCATATATGGATATTTGGATTTGGAGATGTTTTCAATTTTTTATGATTTTTTGAAGTTGAGACAGATTTGCTGAATATTGTTGCGGAATTGAATTTGTACCCTTGTCATTTAATAATTGTATTTGGGCTTTTAGATATTATTGAGGCTCGCATTTTGGCCACTTAATTTACCCTAATCAAAACCTATAAATAGACTAATAACGTTTTGAATTGGAGGTGGTGATTAGACACTTTGAGATTTTGAGACTTGGTCAAAATAAGAATCTTTGTTTTTACTTTCTCTCAAACTCTCTTGTCATTTTCTCATTCTTGCGTGGGGTAAGATTTTCGATGGAAGGCTAAACCTCTTGTTCAATCCGTGGAATCCAAATGTCATAATTCTAACTTGAGTTCTACGCTAAATTGCTCCAAGTTTGTTCTCTTTTCTCTCTAATCTCATAATTGTGTATTACAAACGTAATTGACTTTTCTGTTGTTAGAATTCAAATTAAGACTCAATTGATGCTCTGATTTGATAATTAATGCAGATTAGGTTAAATAATTATTTGATTTAATTCGTAACTCTATTTAATTAAGATATTCGATTGAATTACTAATTGAATTGGGTGATTGTTCAAATGCGGATTTGAATCTTTAGATACTGTGATAGTCGAAGTTACACGCAATTGATATTTTGTGGATTGATGTTTCTTAATTCGTTTTTACTCACTTTAATTCTATTCGTAATTTAATTTAATTAATTTTTAATTTTCAAAATTCCAAAAACCTTATTTGCATTTTTTGAAACAAAACCTAAAATTGAATTTGACTGAGAATGTGTCTCTATGAATCAACTTAGGTTTGACTCTATACTACAAAATCTTTAGAAAAATTAGTTGTTTTAATAGCGACCTGACAATCATCTATCAATACGTCATAATGATGAGGAAAAATACCTTTCTTAGGTAGTTGTATTGCAAAAAGAGACAAAAGTGCAAGGAAAATCAAGTTTGACAAGGAAATCTCGCAAAAGGTAATTAGAATCCATAAACACATAATATGTTTAAATTAAAAGGTCTAACATGAAAATAGAAATCTCCAACTTATTAAATTGAGAAACATTGAAAGTAAGCATAGATAAAATGACATAAGAACCTTATGTTTAAAGGGTCAAGGAACTCATTAACTTCGATGTAATTATAAATAAATTATTTGATTTAACATCAATTTTTTCTACACTTTTCTCCTTTAAAGAATTAGTGAAGCTTTTGGACTTATGGGTTTATAATTTTTTTGACCTAACAATTCAAGAGAAACTATTTTATAGTAAGTCATCATTTTTTCCGTCTTCTTTTTCCTTTTCAACCGTTTTGGATCTTATCATAAAAGGATGAAAGATTCATAGGTTGGATTTGTAAATATGGTTGTTGTTCTCACCAGAGGTGGTGTGTGGAAGAAGGAGTAGAAGAAAAAAAATGGGTTAAGAAAGAGGAAGAGAGCATAATTGTGTAACCAGATCTTTGTATTACTTATCTTTACCACTCATTCTCTTTATGTTGCTTTCTATGATGCTTCCTACACATTTCCTTCTAATTTCTCTATTAATGGCAATAGAGGAGTGAGGATAACCAGAGATAATCCATCCAAAGATCTTCGTATTTGACCAACTTACCACCTGAAGAAGTAAGAACCACAAATCTTAAACCAATTTTGATTTTAGTAAAAAATATATAATCCATGAATGTTTTACTTAGAATCGTAAGATGTTAAGTGAGAAAACTTCTCTAATTTGAGCACTTTTGTGCTTGATAGGCTTGAATGCTATGCTAAATTATGGGATATCATATTTAGAATCAGTGCAATGGTTGTACATGTTAGTACTTAGATTTTGGTGTGATTATTAGTATATATTGTATGTCTTAAATAAGAAAATTGCACCTTTATGGCCCTAAATGTAAGTCTCAAATCTACATAAGAAAATTCTAAGGAAAAGAACCTTAAGTCACTACTTGAGTTAGGAAGTTGAACCTCTAAATTATCTAAGTAACTGAGAAGATAAAAGAAGGAAGTTATATATGCTAGATTAGCAAAACTTTAAGTATAAAATGGAGAAAAATAATGGAATTTTTAGGAGTAAAAGCATAATATAATTTAAACCAAAATAGGTAGTCGAGAGTGAGCTATAGTAGAAAACTTAGAAGATTCACTAGAATTATTATGGGTAATTAACTATAAGTTCAAGCTAATCTTTTTAACTTAACTGAATGCTTGAGGACTGAAATAAAAAAGGTGGGACTGTGAGATATTAAGACCAAAACAAAATAAATGCCAACTTAAAAAACTAAGTTAAGATAGAAAAGTAATCAGGAGATGTGATTGGTAAGTGTAGGACCTAATTGACTTAATAATTGTCACGCTCTAACAATCCTATCTAGCAAGTGTACTAAGTAGTTGTAACAAGTAATAAAATTCAATTAACTACCCTACTTCATTGGGTGTAAATCAATCAAACATTACATTGAGCATGAGAAATTAAGAAATCACAAGATAATGAATGATTATTCCTAAGATATCAATAACCTTAACATTTAATTAAGATTTGAGATATTCACTCAACTTCTATTGATGTAAAATCTCTAAGTTCTATTCAATTGAATAACTAATCCAAGAATTACATTAAGGAAAGAATTAAATTTTTAATACAATCAAGATCTTAGAATTTAAATATACAATTAATTTACAATGTCCAAATAGGATCTATCAATCCCTAAAATTAGAACATGATTCTAAAAGAAAGAGAGAAAGAAAGAGTACAAGAGAAAGTGCAAAAAAATTTCATGAATTCAAGTCCCAAGTCTGATTGCTCAAGGATTAAGCCTTGACATTTTCCCCCAATACTTTCTTTCTATCTCTCTAAAAATGTATTTAAAAAATGAGAAAAGATCCTAAAAAATCTAAGTTTTTGGCTAAAATTTATAACTTTCTTGCATTTTTGACATAACCACTTTCTGTCCAAAAAGTGTTTATGTGCAAGGTCTTTCTCATGACAGCATTTTCGAGTGACTACTTTTAGTCTTAAAAGTGTTTACACGCAAGCCTTTTACATAATACAACTTTTGGAGTGAACACTGTCAACATAAAAAGTAGCTACATGTAGCTAAATCCCTCATCTAAGCTTCTGTAGTAACCACTTTTAGTCCTAAAGTGTTTATGCACAGTAGAATCTCTTATCTAAGCTTTTGTAATGACCACTTTTGGTCCCAAAAGTGTTTTAGCATCGCACCTACCTCCTCAAAAACCTTTAGAGTGACTACTTTTATCATAAAGAGTAGCTACACACGGCCCTTCCTCCTTTAAAAGCCTTCAAAGTGACTACTTTCAACATGAAAAGTGACCACATGCAGGTCATGCTCACTTAAAAGGCTTTGTAATACTTACTTTTGGCGCCATAAGTGCTTGCGCTCAACTTTCATTGTCTTCCAACCTCTGAAGTGTTCACTTTTTGTACCCAAAATGATTACACTAGACCACATTCATGTGTTTTTCTTGGAATCTCCTGCAAAACTAATTCAATCAACAATATTTATATAAAAATTCTATTTAATCCAAACAAACTGGGTTACTAAAATAAAATTTGAATTATTTTAACAATTATATATTTTTATGATATTTTTATCTTCTAAACTACACTTTCTTATTAAAATGATCCTAGAAAACTAACTAAAAACTCATTATAATTTGGATTTATCAATAATGACCCTTAGTTTTCAGGATTCGAGGGGTGACTAAGGACAAATACCCTTAATGCAACCTTGAACTACTAGACTAAATTGGAACTTAAAAAGAAATGATCTTATAAAGAATATGGTTTTATGAAATTAGCCAAGGTCTTTGAACTTGAAATGATATGACACTTTGATGTGAGGATAAAAAATGATAAGTATATAATGTGTATTAATAATAAGATTAAATGAATGTCCATCATGCATCATACTCATGTGAGAGAGGAGATTGTTAAGGTTACAATTTAGCACAATTGTGGGATGCATATGTACAGGTTCTGAGAGAATCTTAGGGGTAGCTAAGGAGAAAATTACCCAATAGTGTAGAGTAGCTCACTGCAACTGGGTCACATCACTGGCA